TGACTGGGGAAGGTAGGTGGGGTTAGTGGGGGGGTTAGATGTAGGAGGGGTGGGTTTAGGAGAAGTGTTAGGATGAGCAGTATTACTGGAGTAAGGAGTAATAGAGAATCCACGTCGACGTGCTTCCTGTCTGGCTTCACGCAGTGTGAGTCCGAGTTTGAATCTGAGAGTTGCTACCTCAGATTCAAATTTGTAGGTGGGACAGCCCCTATAAAATACATTATGGGGGCCGCCACAGTTGGCACATGTGCGTGATTGTGCAGAGCAGTTAGATCGGGTATGGCCAGGTTGGGCACATAATGGGCATCTGGCTGTGGAACGGCAGTGTTTGGCTGGGTGTCCTAGACGCCAACAATTTTGGCACTGACGTGGAGGAGGTTGGTATGGACGAACAGGGAGGGATTCTCCTCCTATGTAGACGTTAAAGGGAAGGTCATGTCTACGGAAGGTAATTTTGGCTATGTTAGTGGGTTTCTTTCGATGACCTCTGGGGGGGATGGAATAGCATTGTACTGATGTTGCATCGTAGTCTGTGAGACAGGCAAGTAGATCTTCTCCACAATCTGACCATTCTTTGTCATAGATTGGGCAATTTGTTGGTGAGATTGAGACTGTTCCGGTGCAAGTATTGAGGGTTGGATGGGGTTCTGCTAGGATGGGGTTACCATATAGGTCAGTTAGTTTTGTTAGTGCTATGGCTTGGTTTTCGGATGTTACTGTTACAAGACGGGAGCGGTCGGGTCGGCTACGGAAAGAGACTTTACCTACTTGTTTTTGGAGGCATTGTTGGAAGAGAAGGGTGTTGTTAGAGTAGGGAGCTGTGGGAGGGATCACGAAAAATCGGTCCCATTTGGCTGCACTGAAGAGAGTATTCAAGATTGTTTTAGAGATAGGGGTGGTAGAAGGGCGAGGGCGTGACGAAGATGGAGTAGTGTTGATGGAGGTAGTGTTATGGAGAGGTGGGCTATAAGGCTGTAAGGTATTAATAAGGGAGGATGGGGTGGTTGATGTTGGAGGTTGTGGGGGTAGAGGTGTTGAAGTTGGGCATGCTGGGAGAGTGGAAATGTCCCTTGAGGGTTGATTGTTGGCTACTGTACTAGTAGGCATTGGTGAAGGGGTAGTTATTGCAGTGTTTGGAGCCGTGGTCAAAGGAGAGCCTGGGGTCGGGGAATCGGGTGGGTTTACTTCGTTGGGGCTATTTGATAAAGGGGCAAGCCTCATTGCCCCTAACAGTGGGGATATATTTTCATTACTGGCCATGGGAAGCCTGGATTATGTTGGGGATAAAAGCAGTCCACCCCTCAGGGTCCCCTTGAGGGGTAAGGGCTAGATAACTAAATCAGGGGAATACCGTGCCCATGGCTCCCTCAGGCCGTTCAGGACTGGCACAAAGTCAGCCTTTCATCCTTTCAGCACGGCTCTCACACCTTAGGAGGTGGATAGCAGAAGGGTTTGGTGAAGGGACAGAAACAAAAGTGGGAAGGGAAAAAAAGACCATGCATAATTAGTTGAGTCGAGGGCTGAGTCCCAAGGTTGGGGAGTTCCCCATCATTGGGTCCCAGTCTCCGCATCCTAAGCCCCCCCACGACAACAACGGGCAAGGGATTGGGGGGGAGATGTTGGATGGTTAATGGTAATTGCTGAAAAGCAAAATAAATGTGCTCTGTAATATTGAAAGGGTAAAGAGAGGGGCGAGTTAATGATTAAATGTGCTATACATCAACAGTTGTACAGCAGTTTAAGATAGTATTGGTATTAATCTTGATACAGCCCTATCAGCCATCTGATTACAACCTGGGCAGGGCCTCCTATATACCCAGATTGAATTATCTATATGTAAATTAATTTTCTTGCCAGGATAATGGGGAAACTGTAGGTACTTTAAGTATTCTGTCCTTGTATTTTTTTTTTTTTTTTTTCATTTTTAAACCAACAAGCGAGGAAAAAAATATTCTCTACCATCTTGAGTTTTGAGAGGATTTTCAAGTTTTTATCTACAGTTTAGGGGTTCATGTGTTTATGTTGTTAAACATGATTGTAAAACAACATGGATATCTTGGAAATAATTTTAAGGAAATAGAAAAAACAGCACATAATCATTGTTTTAATGACAAATTCATATCATGGAGATGTCAGGTATATGGGTTTCCATTCCATTTTCTGCAGAAGAAACTCAAAAGACTACTAGAGGAATATGAGTCAGATGGCAACACAAATTGAAAAATCTGTATTGTATCTAGATAGTTTTACACATTTTCCTCTCACTAGGTGCTGGCTTGGACCGATTTTGTTTCTTAACTGCAATATGAAAGTAGACCATATTTGTTTTACATAATTTATTTAGGTTTCAACACATTATAAAAAATCACAAGTATCCTAAAAGTCTATATAAACACAGAGCAGTTCCAACTGCAGAACCTTGCTATTCAGAAAAAAACTAATGTTCCACTTTTAATGAGATTCAGATTCCTTGTTCATTTTCCATTATATAAAATTTACA